TGGTGGGCGGAGTCATACAACCACAGCGTGGACTGGTGGGCGGAGTCATACAACCACAGGGTGGACTGGTGGGTGGAGTCATACAACAGCAAATCATAAATTCTGGTTAAAAATAAAAGTTTAGGAAGTTTGTGAGACAGATTTCTGTTCGTGGAATTTGTTGACAAATCAGAAATATAAAGAATATCCTCAGCCTCATCGTCTGACAGCAGCATCTACAGAAGTGTAATTTGGAGTTATAACAGCAGGAAATTTCTGACATGATGTCTGAGGGAGCAGTGATGCTGATAGGCCCTGTTATCAGACATGAAATTGGTTGCCATGGTAACTCCTGTAAGAGCCAGCAGCCTGCAGGAAATGGTTCATACATGACACATCAGATTTTTCTTTCTAACCTTCATGAGAAGGAAACAGAACAGCAGCTGGTTTCAGTTCAGGAAGTTCCTGTTTTTAATATCTGTGGTTTGTATTTTTAATTTTTAGAGGAGGATTTTATCCTTTAATAAATATTAAACTCTACGAACTGTAAGTCTGAGGTTTGGATGTGCTGCAGTACAGGTTATACCTCAGTGAGGAGCCTCTCCAGTTCAACAGGAGTCCAACAGGTTCATGTGACTCGTTCCTCTGTGAGTCACAGTGCGTCACTGATGGATGGAGGTTAATGATGGATGATGTTTATCTTTCAGACTACATGAAGGGCTCGTTGTCCAGCACCTGCTCCCTCAACAGTGAGAACCCGTACGCCACCATCAACGACGCACCTGCTGTGTGTAAACACTCAGAGAGCAGCTATGTGGAGATGAAGTCGCCAGCTCACCATGAACACATGACACACTGTTGCTCCGCCGCCGCTGCCATCATCACCACTACGACCACCACCACTGCACCCGCCAAGAACGTCTACGACATGGGTGTGTTGCTTACATCATGTTTTGCCTTGGGGCTGGAAAAAAAACAGCATAGAAATGATGAGAACTGATCCATCAACTAAATCATCTCTACTTTAACCTCGTTTATCTCCTCTCAGAACCGACCATCAGCATCGTCCAGGGAGCCGGCAGCATGGTGGTTCCCAGTTACCCTCAGAACCCGTACGACCTGCCGAGGAACAGCCACATCCCGAGTCACTACGACCTGCTTCCCGTGCGCCCGAGCCCCTCCCACAGCCACAGCCTCACCCTGCACAGCCACAGCCCCCCGCTGCCCGGCAGCCCCACCAGCTCACTGCTCTAGACCTCCACCCACCCCCCCACAGCACCCAGACTGGACACTGGACCAGTGCTCCCAGTTCATCGAGAGCCAGGAACTGTGAACTGGGATAGGACATGGTGGAAAGACTTGGTGCATGTGTGAATCTCCTCCCTGCAGCGCTCCGACCGCTGCTCTGCTGTTTGATAATTTATCACTGTATTATATCCAAACTGTTTCTGTGCCGATCAATACTACATATTTGTGTTGTATTGTAAATTCCCCCTCATCAAGAAAATGCCAACGGAGGGAATATACACGTACGTATGCACACAAGTATACCTTTTCTCTGGTATGCTGATTTCTTGGGAAGTCGAGGACGATCGGTAAAGAAAATAGGTTACTGTAAATGTTTCTGAGTACGACTGTTGAACTGAAAAATAAACGTGCGTGCCAAAGACGAGACTGAGGCCCACGTCACACCTGGACTGAGTGGATCCACCACACCTGTACAATGAAGCGGCATCACACGGGCATTACTTTCTGTGGAGAAAAGGTGCTCGTTACTCCGATATTCTCCCAAAAACAAGGACCTAAAAATATGTAAAGAAATGCACACAAACTGCAGTCTGGTCAGATCTACACGACCTGTACAGTTCTGGTATTTTTACACATCGTTTCTTATTTCCTGTTTACATATTTAAAGATCCTGACGAGGATCCATATTTTCTCTCTGGAAAGTTCTCTTTTTGTATGTACTGTAGACGGAGTGGTGTATTAGCTGTACACTTACTGTACACTAGTGATTATTATTGTGATTTTCTTTTGTTGTGTCGAGCTTAATACACATGCATGCCAAAGATTATTCAAGATGTAATATTTAGACAGGAAAACCCTGATTACGTTCTGTTGGTGCGAACTGATTATCGTCATCTGACTGTGTCAACATGGGAAACACTCCGATCTCAAACACGCACTGCAGGGCTGCAACCAACAGTTATTACTGATTCATCTTCTGATTATTTCTTCAATTAATTGATTAATTTTTTGGCAAATTCCATGTCATGAAAAAGTGAAAAATGTCCATCTCAGTTTCAGTGAGGATACTGAGATATTGAGTTAGTATCACATGGTGAGAAGAGAAGCAGCAAATTATGACAGATTTTTTGCCTGAAAAATTAGTCATCGATAATCGTTTATCAAAATTGTTGCCATAAATTGACTAATTGCATCAGCTCTAAACCTCTTCCTAACATACAATGTGCAAACAAACTCTTGCAGATGAAGCGCAAAAAATTGTCCAAATATACTGCCAGTGAAAACAATACTCAGAGAGCTTCCTGAGTCCCGATCGAGCCTGAAGCACCGGCTCGCTGCTTCTCTGAAATAAGACTGGAGATGCACAAAGTTTTGCAAAAATAGAGTGACACATTGCTCAGCCTGTTACCTGATGCACACTGAAACAATCTGATAGTCACTAGCTCGTATTGCATCTTGTTAGGAAAAGGTGAGAGGGTACGGTCACACATGAGCAAAATAAACATTGGCGACTATTCACCTCTCATCGACTTTCATTCAGTGCAGGGAGGGGGCAGCTAATGTTGGATTCAGACTACGTAATGTCTGCCTGATTATAGCCCCACGCGGACGAGTGTTGTGCATAATAACCAACCAGGAAGCCAGTGTTCACTTCCTGTAAAATTGAATTTTTTTTCCTAATCCCATTGCAACCACAAAAGAATGTCAATCTGCAGTGTTGTACCGACGTAGTGCTTTTATTTTGAAAGAGACTGTATCAAACTGTACATTTCCTGTGAAAACAGAAGTGTATTTTGAAAACAGACAATGCATGTAACAGGTTGAAATTGACACGGCGTCCCAGAACGTCAACAACCAACACACCCAGGGTACCTTGGACGTCATATCTCAATTTATGACCACGTGTAGACATGTGACGAGGTCAGAGTGAGAGCGTGTTGTTCTCTCATGTGTGACTGAACCCAAAAGCAGGGCTGTATTTGTTACAGAGGTCAAAAGTGGAAGCACTTCTTATAAAAAGGTCGATGATGTCAGTGACGTCACAGAATCACCAGATTTTTGTTCCCAAACAAACACAATCAAAACATGTTTCTAATCTTCTGGTAACTGTTTCCAACATGACATAAAACAGAGCCGTGATGAATAAAATCCTGCCGAACTTTTCAGTGACACACAGAGGTCAGATTTGTTCAAACTGCTGATAAAGATTCGTTGGCAAATAGCAATAACAGGACATGTTGACAATCAGATTTAAACAGCTTTGTTTTCACATGTATTTGTTTTCCTGCTTTTGTTCCATCGGCTCTGACTTTATCTCACTCGTACGTCTGTTCCTTCAGCTCTGACCCAGATAATAGTTTCAGCTACAGTAGATGTATCCAGTGCTGCTTGTTGGTCTTTTTGTTTCCAGCCCTAAACTCAATAAAGTTGTCATAGCTCAGGGGAGTGGTGTCGTGTCTCATTACGCAGCAAATAATCAGAATATTAAATTATCTCAGCCCAAATTATTTCTGGTTGTAAAAGCATTAAAACAACTGTGGTCATCCAGGAAAATGGAGATAAACAGTTGTGTGTCATCTGCATAACAGTGTATTCAACATCATGTTGACTGGTAGTGTTTCCTGTGTAAAGTGTCTGTCATATAAAATCATCCAGACTAACAGAAAACATTATCCGCCCAACTTTAAGAATTGAATTGTCAAAATCTGCAGTTCCTCTAATGTCCACTAGAGGCTGGCTCCAAGAGTGAGTCAGTCCCCACAGAAACACATGTTCAAATGTAGAAATAAACTCGTTTACAGCCTGGTAGCCATGGTCAACAGTTAACCAATGACATCCCTAGTCCCACCACTGGAACTACATTACCAGCGGTAATCGCTGAATGAGCAACGCCGCCAGCTCACTCCCACCTGATCCAGGCAGTGAACATTATTGAGCATATTCAGTGGGCCACATAGCATGAAAGTAAACCAGGAGGCTAAACTTTGAGTGTGTCTCAAACTTAAGTTAGTACACTTCAGTGTAGTACACTATGTACACTACAAACTTCTTGCGTGGTGCACTGATGTCAACAGAGTAGAGGTGTCTTGTTTTGCACTTACCCTAACTGTATCTTTTTTTTCTTTTTAACCACCTCGTCTTCTTCTTCATCTACTTTTTAAACGACACATTGCCAGTGTTGCCAACTTAGCGACTTTGTCGCTATATTTAGCGACTTTTCAGACCCCTCTAGCGACTCTTTTCAAAAAAGCGTCTAGCGACAAATCTAGCAACTTTTTCTGATGTTATTGAAGACTTCTGGAGACTCTGTTGTGAGAGCACGTATCATTCTTATTCTTCTCAACGGGCAGCGGATGCTGCCGTGGGCTCCTCTCTCGCCCCAAAGCACTCACAGACGGCCCAGTCCTCCCTCCCAGCTGCAGTCAGAGCAGGAGACGTTAACCCCTCCACGTCCAGACTGCAAGTGAATCGCGCATGCACGGAACCGCCGCTGGCTGATCTATCGCTCTGATCCCGACCTGGTTTACAGTCAGGACAGGATGTAAATGTAAAATTTTCTTTGTCTAATATAAATCACTGAAAGAAGGTTCATTTGTAGTTCTAAACATATTCAGGGTGTTTTTTTACTCAGTTTTTGTCTCTCCCACGACGTTATTCCTCTCTCCTACAGCAGCCATTACAATTACGTGCATATGGACAATTATGCAAATTAGGCGATGACGTCATTTAGCGACTTCTAGCGACTTTTAGGACAGCCAATAGCTACTTTTCTTACTGAGGAGTTGGCAACAGTGCACATTGCAAACAGACAGTGGAGCATCATGGCCAACATTTGACCGCTACCTCCATCCACACATAAACCAAATGTCACAACATTTATGTTGATTGAAACGTGCTGCTGTAGCTTGGAACGACTTAGCCATCTAGCGAATGCTTGCAAGCTAACGTTAGCACTCTCATTATTGTTGGTGGCACCGAATCATCACAGAGCCAACAAACATCACTGACGGCTTCTATTTGAAAACAGTTTTGGTACTTGGTGCAAAACACACGTAACTAACAGGCTCCTTGTTGTCTCCAGCCGCCATGTCAAAAGTTGAGAAGTTTGCTACGTCACAAAGATGGCGACCGTTGAAGATGAGAAGTGCTCGTCATTTCACACTCAACTTTTGGACAGTTTTGAGTGCGCCAGTAGTACACTGCATTTTCCTGCAATACGCAGTGTGACTGCACTTAGCGCACTTGTGTACTTAAAATATTAAGTGTTTAGTGCAGAAGTCTGAGATTTGAGACATATTGTTTTTTTGGTGTGTGCGTCACGCAAGCAGCTCCGTTGAAAGGAATCGGCACCATCTTGGCGTTTGGTATGAAGTTCATTCTACATCTATGAAAACAGAAAACTCAAGGCTGGACTTACTGAGACACCTGAACACAACTGGGCTGTTGTTAATCTTATTAGTAACATCTGTGATTTTCCTGCTGAGACGAGTAAACATTTCTGTTGTAGAGAAGCTCTGTTGACACGTTACAGGTCTGCACACCTGAGCTACACTCACACAGGTGTTCTCACTCACAGGACTGATTAGGCCTCTTAGTTAAAGCAATCAGGTGACCTCAGGTGTGTCCCATCATCTCTCTGCTCTCCTTCAACCTGAGCCAAGGCCTCAACAGCCAAAATAACTCAGAGCACCTGTGGGCTCTGTCAGGTGAGCCTCTCTGACCAATCACACTTCAGGAGGTGTTCAGTGTGTCTCTCAGGTCCTGCTCTGTCTCGGTGAGTTCCTGGATTAAGGCTTTGCTGTAATTTGGGACTAATTAAAGATAAAATGGAGATAATGCCCTCAGACAGCACACATGGTGAGTACAAACTCTTTAATTTCAGTCTGTGAGGAAGAGAAAGTCCATTATACACAAGTAAACACAGACAGTAGATAGAGTTTGGTATTTGGTGATTTCCAGAGACATTTCTTTACACAAACTGCTGCCTGAATTTTAATTAGAGCTGCAGCTGGTTGTAATTGAGTCATCAGTTGTTTTTTCGATTAACCGCTCTGTCTCAAAAATATATAAGAAAAAAATGAGAAAAATGCACATCACAGTCACCAAAGCAACTTTACATCGTTTGTTTTGTCCGACCAACAGTCTCAGACCCAAAGATATGAAATTAAAATGAAATAAAACAGAAAAAAAATCAAGCAGTTTTCACATCTGAGGAGCTGGATCAGAGAATATTTGGCATTTCTGCTTCATTAGTGACTTAAATGATTAATTGATAATCAAAAGTGTTGCCAGTTGTTTCAGCTCTGATCTCAACGCCTGTGAAAAATGAAATTAAATATTCATTTATAATTAGACATTTTGTTAAAGCTGATGTGGGCAGAAATCTAAAGAAGGCAGAGAAAGACAGAAAACACCCCCGCTTCCTGCAGCTCCCCCTCTCTGTCCGAAGCTCCTCCCACCAGACGACCACAGACATATGCGTGTCATATAGTAACAGTGTTTCCAGTACATTGATTTATTTCATCTTATTTCAGTGGAGAGTTCCACGCAGATCATTCTGTCAGCCCCTCTAAATGAGACAAGAATTAGCTGCTAGCCACCCCGCGCTCCCTCCGCCTCGCTCCCCTCTGCTGTGGACTGAGGGGGCATCTCAGGGGTAGACCTTTGGTTGGTGTCTGTAGCAGCTCGAATGCATTCAGCTTTAACCCCCCAGTGACAGATGTCACAGTGGGCTGGTGGTCTGCAGCAGCGCTGGGTCTAACCTATGTAACAGCAGCAACAGAAAGTTTGCGGATCCAGCAGGGAGTCAGAGCTGTCCAGTCCCTCAGAGCTGGGGTTTATGCTGGCTGGATTCAGGTTACTGCAGCAGCTGACTCAGGGTCAGTCTCTGGAGCTGCCTACTCTCCTCCTGGCGAAGTGGTCTCTAGCGGGGAGTGAGGCGGAGGACACACTGTGATTCGAGGCTCTTGCTAACGTTAGCTACATAAACATGCACTTGAGGACGCAGCCATGAGCCTTTATCTCTGGTTAGCAGAAGGCTAAACTATTTGCAACCTTTTCTCTCCATCTCTGAAACACGTTGCTGATACTGATATTTACTTCATATATTGTCAGACTCTCTGTGAGGGTCCTCTTTCACGTTGCTTTGTAGTGTAGTTAGAGTGTGTGTGTTTGAGATCCTGGAATAGCGACTTTCTCTGCAGGACTCTCCACCACTGAATCAGACTTTCACCATCTGACAGGACGTGCACGCTCATCTGCATTTGTAGAACAGCCAATAGGAATGCTGTCTCTCTGACCTGTGATTGGCCAAAGTCTCTCGTCACAGACTAGACTTTCTAAAACCTGAAAACAGAGCCAAGACTATAGAAGCAAAATAAGACGCATATGTATTTTCATTTTAACAGCCACTGAATACTTGATATTGAAATTTGAATACGGCTGAATTCATGGCATTGAAATATTTTACTTTGAAAAGCATGTATCTGAATTTATTTGATCTCAGTTCATCTCTTTGAAATCAAAATAGAGGAGAAAATTCTTGATTTGCAATTTCAAAAGCTGAAGCTGATTTCAAATAACAAATTTAAGTTTCAGAATTTCAAAAAAACTGATTCAGGTAGCTCAAATTCATTTGGTCAATTTAGATGAAAAAATTCAACTAAAAACATTTCAAATAGAAACATCCAGGCTGCCCAGGACACAAATGTGCTTATTCAGTTCAATCAACAACGGTAATTAAAACTAGCCAATCACAAGGAGAGCAGAGTGAGTCAGTCCTTCACTGTCCTAGGATTAGATCATCTGCATCACATGGAGGGTCCGCCACATTAAGTTCCATCCCAAACCAACAAATGCCGAGTGGAACTGGGTTCTAAAACCCAACCACATTGAGTTGGCGCCGATGCAGACCCACCGACCATGTGCAACACAGAACTGCATTCGTGATAGTAGAAGCTCCGTACAAGTGAAGTTCCACACACCACAAACATAAAGTGGAAGTAATTTGACTTTTCTCCAGAGCTCGCCGCTGTGTTTTTACGCTGTGATGTAGGAGCTTCATTCAGCTGTGAAGGTGACGACAGACAGAGCGACACTCTGAGATGGAGTGGGAGTGGATAGGGTCTGGTTTTGGAAAGGTCCTCTTTGTGTCAGCCCTGTCCAGGGTGAACCCCGCCCCTCACCCAATGTCTGCTGGGATAGGCTCCAGCCCCCCCGTGACCCCCAACAGGATAAGCAGTGACAGAAAATGAATTAATAAATTCAGACATGAGTTTCATAGTAAAATATTTGAATGCCATGAATTCAGTGGTGTTTAAACTTCAGCATTAAGTGTTCATTGGCTCTTAAATTCAAGTGATTGTATCTATTATTTTTCATCCATACAAGAGGAGGTTCAGAAGCTTATTCTAGGTCTTGAGCTCAGTGACACCAAAATAAAAA